GATTAAAGAGGTGGATCTCTGTGAGTTTGAGGCCAGTCTGGTCTACAGAGTGAGTTCCTGGACAGCCAGGGCTGTTAGACAGAGAAACCCTGTCTCAAAAAACAAAACGACAAACAAAAACCAATTTGGGAAAAGAATTGCATCAGCATGGAATATACTGAATTTTTTTTTATCATTATTCACTAAGCATCACAATATAACAATTGTCTACCTGTAATTTCCATTGTATTGAATATTGTAAATAACCTTGAAGCCATGTGTATGATTTATGCAAATGCTATGTCATTTTATATAAAGAACTTGAACATTCACCATTTTGGTCTTCACAGTGGGGTTTCCTAGACTCAAACTCTAACAGACCCTAAAGTATATCAGTATGAGTTTGTACTTTCTCTTATCCCCTCTGAAGGGTAGGGATATACTCTCCTTTTTCACGGGTGCCCTATGCCCCTAATGGCTTGCTCATATAGTCCCCAGAGTACTGGGGGATGAGGTGAGTAGGGAGGACACACTACAAGTGGGTCATTCTCTTGAGGATGACAACACTTGTCCTATTTTCCACCTCTCTAAATTGAGCTTAGCACCTTGTGCTTAGGTGACTCTGACAGGTCAGTCCTACGTGACTCACCCTGTGAGCCTTCAATAATGTCACCACCAGGTCCTGGGCCAGGACATGTGATGCAGGAGGAGGGAGGCAGAAGGAGCTTTCACCTTCACAGCTCTTTCACTTCCCTAGGAAAAAGATAGAAAGTCCTTCCCTTAGGTGGGTTGGGGGAGGAAGAGGGGTCCCTAGAATTGCAGAATCAGGAGCTGAGAAGAGGGAGGAGCCCACCTTACCTTGGAAGGCTTGGCTAACTAGTCCAAATGGTTGAACTTGGCCTTTGCGCATCCATTTCCCCTACAGAGAACTGGAGATAACTGGAGATAACAGCGGTCTTGTTCTTCTCCCTAGTTAGTTTTAAAATCTCCCTGATAGACCAAGAGGCTGCAGAAGATTTGGAATTTCTGCAAAACACAGCATCCTCTTCTATAAAATGGAGATAATAATTAGAGCCTGGGATGAGAAAATTATGTAGGTGCCTAGCATGTACCAAGAGCTCAATAATGTTGGTTAGTTCCAAACAAGATAATGATGCTGATTATGTAAGTAAAAACCCAAGGAGGGCTCATTGGTGAAAAGAGGGGGCAGGTCTGGGGGGTAGTTCAGGGGTAGATTGTGTGCTTTGAATGTGGAAGACCCTGGGGCTTAGTCCCCAGAAGCAAAAGAACAGAAGGACAGAGTCAAGCTCCTCACAACTGGTTGATTCTTTTAGCCAAGTGTGGGGTGTGGCTCAAAGGAATGAGGAAGCTGTCCAGGAGGTGACTGGGCACACAGCACAATTTGTCTTTAAAGATGGGAGTGTGTGTGTGTGTGTGTGTGTGTGTGTGTGTGTGTGTGTGTGGGTATGTTCGCTGACCCTTCCAAAAGTTCAGGGCCCTTGTTCCTCATCTCAATCCTACTTTTGTCATCTACTTGTCTCTTCTCCAGTGTCCTCAACAAGTCCAATCACCAAACCCTATTGGTACTTCTTTAAAATGTTTGACAGTTATATAGGCTTTCTTACGTGCTATCCCAGTAACCTTTCATTTTCTGTCTCCCATTAAAAGGATCCAGAGTTAAGAGGGGCTGGGAGGTCACTCTGCATGCTGCACATGGGAATACTGAAACCTGAGAGAAAACACAGCAAACAATCTGGTGGCAGAGGCAGGATTAGAACCCAAAGGTCCTAACTGCAACCCAGGTGTTTTTTCAAGTGACACCTGATTTCCTGGGCCACTACAGTCTCCCAAACAGATCCTCAAATGATCTGGCCTCTCCCTGTGAATTTGTTCTAGTGTGGTAGCGTCCCTATCAGAAGGAACAGGACCTCGAGGCAAGTCCTATGGTCCTGCTGTGGTCCAGCCAGGGCAGCACAGACCACCATATGATGGTCTAGCAGCAAGGCCCTGATCTTGACTTTCCCTCCTATTAGAACTGGCTTGTTTTCACCTTGAGGGGTTGTTACCTAGTTCCTGGTTCTGCCTCTCAGTGGAAATGTGGTCTTTGACTAGGTATTGACAGGAAGTTGGTCAAAGTGACCCATACCAATTGATTTGGGTTAGCTCTAAATATTAGAGGGGGGTTGTTTGTTTTCCTTTTTCTTTTCTCAGTGCTAGAGAATGGAACTCAGGGCTTCCCCCAATGCTAACCAAGTGCTCTACCCACTGAGCTATATCCCTGTCTCTAGAGTTCTCTGTGGTGAGCTGGACTCATCTTTCTGGATAGCTACCTACTGGAGCTGAATGTAACTCCTTCAAATTCATTCAGCCAGAAAATCTGTAATCAATGTTTCTGGGTCTTGGGTGAACTAGGTGCTGAGGGAAAAGGGCGGATCTGTTCCACAAGGATCCTTCCTTCAGGGGAACCCCAGGGGCTCCTGTACACAGATGATGGTCTTGCTTAGTAGACATAAATGCAGTAATAGGGAACAGATCACATCCCCTTTCTGGGTGTCAGCCTACAGATGGCCGGAGATAGCCACCCACCACACCCTTCTCCAGGCCACTTACACATTCACATCATGTGATGTTCAGGTCCTCAACATTCTGGTCCCCTCCTTTAGACATGCGTGAGCATGACAGTGTCTCTCTCAGATGTAGAGCCTGGAGCTGAGTCCTGTGGCCTATCTGTGATCTCTTGAGGATAACAGACAAGACTGCTTTACCCATCCCATCCCAACCACGCCCCCATTGTATCATTGAGCTCAAGGTCAAGTAAAAGTCTTGAAATGATCTTCATGGAAACTGTTCTTAATCTAGATTCTTCCATACTATGCTTTGTGCACTTGTATCTCATAGAGACTCATAGAGACATTCTATCTAGTTACCAGCTCCCTTCGTGGCCTTAGTCACCAGCCACATCTCAATTGCTCAGTAGCCATGGGTTGAGACCTTCCAGAGACTTGTTCTGTTTCCACAGTGCATGCTCTAGGGGTTCTCTCTCTCTCTTTCTTGCTGACAGCAGCAGATCTGATTAGCACTTCATATCTCCTCAGCTTCATCTAAAACCACTGGTAACACACCCTTTCCCCAGAGCAGAGGGCATAGTAGCCATGGCTATGTCATCAAATAGTTGTTTAATAAAAATTAGGTCTCTGAATCAGGGTCTGTGCTGGGTACCAGGGAACTTCAGGGAGACAGAAAACACAGGTAAGTAGAGTCCTATAATGGTGGATGCTGATTCTAGTAGTTCAATTAGCTTCATCTCATATTCAGGGCTGGCCTGATGGTTAAACATGGGAGTTCAAAGTTAGCTTCCCGGGTTCAGATCCTGGCTCTGCCATTTTTCAAGCTATGTAGTGACATTGTGTTAATTTCTGCTTTCTGGTGTAAAATAACTGTAGAAATCAAATGAGTTAATGCAAATATGACTTTTGGGGAGGGGGGTTAGAGACAGGGTTTCTCTGTATAACAGCCTTGGCTGTCCTGGAATTTACTTTGTAGACCAGGCTGGCCTTGAACACTGAGGCATGTGCCACCACTGCCCAACTCATATGACTCAAAATATGTCTAGAATATATGTGTTCCACATAATTGAATTTTTAGTCCCTATGGTGAACTTAATTTGCATCCTGGACTTTTCGAGCCATGCTGTGTAGGAAAGCCTGGCATGCTCTGCTCAGTCCTGTGTTAGGCCTTGGTTTCCTTAGTTTTGCCCTCTCTTAGTTTATCTGTGTCCTTGAAGGTCCACACCATGCCTCCCCTTCTAGACTTATACATTCAGCTTCTTGTTTCCAATCTGCTCTTAGCATCCTGTACTGGAGAGGATGGGGTCGGAAGGAGGTGGGAGCTTAGCAAAGAACCAGAATTACTGGCCCTGGCTTTGACTCTGTGCTACCTGGGGCAGACTAAGGGTCATAGCTGTACTTGAGATATGGTTAGGGCCAAAGGAGACAAGGAGGTGACAGTGTTTAGTGTTTGCTTTAGGAGTCTTTGCCCATGTTGTCACCCACGTCCGGGCTTCCAGTAAAATGCTGTAAGTGCTTACATTTGCTTCTTCCTCATTTCTTCCCTTCAAAATCTAATAAAGGGGGCTTGGTATTCCTGGTCTTCCTGAGGTCTAGCCCTTGTCCTGGGAATCCAAGCGCAGGAATTCCCTCGGTTTCTTGTCTATGTACTGGGGCATTGACAGACATCCTCAGGGTGCTATTCTAGGTTCACTGTTCTGGTTAGTCTGTCCATTCCTATGCTTGGCTTTAAGTGTGTATGCAGGACCTTCGGCAGGAGCCCAGTAAGGTCCAGGGTGGATTCTTTCCTAATTCAGACAGGCGCTTTACTTTGGGCATGCTTGGGTCTATGGGTCTAGGGTCCCAGGGTCCCAGGGTCCCAGGACTAGGGGCTCGGCCCTTGCTGAGCTCTCAGTGAGAGCAAAGGGGCTGCCACCTGAGACTGTGGAAAGAGCTGCAGGCTTTTCGCAGCTTGGCCATCTGAACAATAGGAGGGAGGCTGGAGGTTGGTGGGCGTCGGCCAGGTCCTGACGGAGGGAGAGGACTGGTGGTGCTGCTGGGCCAGCGGGTTAGCCCAGGCCACAGGCCTGAAAGCTGAGTGGGCTTGGTGCCGGCGGTGATACTGGAGGAGGTGGGTAAGGCCAAGCATACCAGGCTGGGAGTCTCCTCCTCGTGGTCCTGCTGCTCGCCCTGGCCTCTGAGCTCACCGAGGCTCAGGTGGGTTCCTGGCCCACGTGGGGAAGCGAGCGGCGCGGGCTCGCGGGGCGCACCGCCCTCCGAGCGCCCCTCCCTGGGACCGGACGCGGCTGCTCCGGGGCAGCCGGGCTCTCCGGGCCAGTGGTTTGCGCTCGCTGCTAGCACGCCCTTCGGCCGCTGCCTGGCCGGGATCACAGCCGCCTCCTCCCAGGGAGCCGCCGGGGCGGGGCAGAGGGGGAGAGGGGGTGTGCGGAGCGGGCGGGAGGGGGCTGAGCGCCGTGGGAGGGAGCGAAGGAGCGAGCGAGCAAGCCGGGCATTTCTGCGCAGCTTCTGAGCGCCTCGGAGCCCGCCAGGGCGGCCACTGAACGCAAGGACGGAGAGACAGACAGACGGCTCCCGGAAGCCGCGCCGCCACCGCCAGGTTAGCAGGGCGTCGAGACCACGCAGGCTGTCGCCGCGTCCCGAGCCTCGAGTACTGGAGGACGTGCGTGGACGGAGCCACGAGCTTCGGCTCCTGTCTTTGCGGGTACGTGTGTCGGGGGTCCTAATCTCAGGGTGTGCTTTGAGTGTGAACGCGCGTGTATCTGTGGATAAGTACAAGTGGTTGTTTGGCATGTACGTGCGTGTGCATCTGTGTAAGGGTGTGCACCTTGGGGCGGGGTGGTGTGCTAATCTGGATGAGGGTCTGTGTGTCTGCTTGTGCTTATCAGCGGCTGTGCCTGAAGAGGGTGTGTCCCAATGTGTAGCAGTGTGTACATCTGGCTGAGGGTGTGCGCTTGTACAGATGGCTTCGCTTGTGGCTGAAGCCTGTGGCGTGTGTGTGTGTGTGTGTATTTCGCTGTGTACACTCCAGTGTGACTCCCTGTGTGAGTGTGTGCGCGCGCGTGTGAGAGCGGGTGTGCGCCCGCGTAGCCCCTGTGTGCGTGTGCTCGGCTTTGTCTCCGCACTGCCGGGAGGAAGGGGTGAGGGCGGCGGCCGAGGCGCTGGCGTCGCCCGGAGCCCCTCACTAGCCGGGGAAGTGGGTGACAGCAGCGGCGCGGGCGTCCTAGCTGAGTGGAGACTCCCTGCTGGCAGGTGGGCAGCCACGCCCCGGGTACGGGAGAGAGCCCTACTGACAGCAGAGCCTGGTTCCCGACTGAGCAGGAGCGGAGGGCGTGGCCTGCCTGAATCCCGGGTGTGTGCTTGTGAGGGGTGGGATGGGTGATTGGGTGTGAAGGGGTGGGTGTGTGCAGGCGTGGGTGTGGGGTGCTGGTAGCAGCAACAGCGGCCCCCTCGGCTGGTGACCCAGAGGATTCTGAGATCTTTTTCCTTGTGGTATAAAGACAGGTCCAGAGGCAACCCGGTCTAGTCAGCTACACTCAAATCCTCACCCTGTTACTGGGCCGAGCAGCAGCCTAGGTACCCTGAAAGGACTAGTAAGACTCATCACTGTCTTAAAGGGCCAGCTCCCAATTCCAAGGAATCCCCTCTCAGGAGGCCTATGTACTTCCCCCATATATTGGGCACACTGCATGCATGTTTAGTCTGTGTGCGTTCCCCCCGTATATTTCTTGTGTATTTAGGTGCATATGTACATTTTACTGAATAAATAACTCTGGATGTATGTGGGCATCTGTTTTGATTAAGTTCTGGTATATTTGTTTTTATGTGTGTAGCTGTTTGTGTATTGGTGAGCCTGAATGTGGAGCTGTAAGACAGTGCCATTTTGTTGCTAACTGGAATAGGATAGAATAAGCCCCTTATATTTGAAAAACAAGGTGAAAAGGAAGTTTGGGGATTTGGCCACTGGCTTTTGCTGGTTTCAGATATGGGTACTTTGTGTTTGACCAGGATCCAGAGGGAAGGAAAGAGACATGCAAGCTCAAGTCTTCTCCTGGCTGTTCTCCCTAACTTCCCTCCTCCTTGCTGCTTTGCATGTGTACAAGGGTACGTGTGCAGGATTTGGAGTGGAAAGGGAGGAAGCTGGGGGTATGAAAGGGAGACTAGGATGGTGATGGGGTGGGGGGCAAAGGCGGATTTCTGCAACCCTTAAACTGTTTCCCTGCCAAAGACAGCAGAGGCAAGGGAAGCTGGCGTCCTTATCCCTTTCCCTGAATGCACAGCTTAGGAGGGATGCTGAGGCTGCAGGGTCACAGGCACTGCAGTGTGGTCCCGGGTCCCCTTTTGACAAAAACCAAACCCCTTTTGTGTTTATCTTTATTAAGCTTCTTTTCTCTTAAAGATGCTTAATTCTCTAAGCCTCAGTTTCTCTGGTTAGGGGTTGGGGGCTCAGGGTTGGGTCTTCGAGGCTGGAGTTTTGCTCAGAGTGCTAGACTTGTCTTATTACCACGATTTAGGGATTCACTGTGTGTGTGTGTGTGGGGGGGGAAGGTTCATTTTATATGTATGGAGGGGTCAAAGGTTGGAGGATAACTTGTAAGAAAGAATCAGTTCTCTCCTCTTACTATGAGGGCCTCGGGGATTGAACTCATGTCATCAGGCTTGGTAGCAAATGTCCATTGAAACATCTTGCTAGCCAGGAATTCACTCTTCTTGCACCCAGAGATCCTGGCTGTAGTCCCCATTTACCACCTGCCACTTTCCTCACTAGAGCTTACAGCCATAGTTCCCAGTATGGTCAGCTTACGACCTGCAGCTGGTAATGGGGTAATGGTTTCTTAGAAATGCAAATTTGGAGCCTCCTGGTAGACCTACACCATACCAAAGTCTGGGGATAGGCCTAGCAATCTCTGTTTTAACAAATGCAAATTATTCTGACCTGTTCTATGACTCAATAGAGGAGCCAGGAACTTCTAGGTTGAAACAAGAGAGAAGCCCCTCCTTTCTTCAGGCCGGCATGCTTGTACCTGAAGAGGCCCCAAAGCCTACCTTAGTAGGTAGGGGTCCTGGCTTCAAACCTTGGGTCTTTGTGAGCTTAGACAGTAACTCCTTTGCTATCTAAGCAAAATCTCACCCTGCACCTTCCCCATTTGAACATTTTTTCCAAACTGATGGGAGATGTCATTCTGTAAATATGTTTCTCATACTGGTTAATGAATGAAGCACTGTTGGCCAATAGGAAATCAAGATAGGTGGGACTAGGAGACAAGGAGGATTCAAGGAAGTAGGAAGGAGGAGTCAGCATGTAGAGACTGGAGACTACAGAGGTCTGGGCCCTCTCTCTGGTAAGATGAGACCACGCGGAAACAGATTAATAGAAATGGGTTAAGACAGAGCTAGCCAATAAGAAACTAGTAACTGGCCTACAGCTTTATATCTAATATAATGTCTCTGTGTGTTATTTGGGGCTGGCACAGCGGCTATGGGACTAGACCGGCTGTTGGGAAAAACCTACTCCTAAAATATGGCGCCCAACATGGGGCTGGAACCCACGACCCTGAGATTAAGAGTCTCATACTCTACTGACTGAGCTAGCCAGAAGGCAGGTAAAATCTAGTCCTTGCCCACTTGCCTCAGGCTGGGATTTTTATGCACAAAGGTTCCACTGTCTAGTACACTGGTCCCTGTTTCTTTGGGGGAGGGGCAGGGCTTTGCCAACTCCCCAGGTTAGGCCAGTATTTCCCTTCATACATTTTTTTTTTTTTTTTTTGAGACTGGGTTTCTCTGTATTGTTTTGGAGCCTGTCCAGGAACTAGCCCTGTAGACCAGGCTGGCCTCAAACTCACAGAGATCCGCCTGCCTCTGCCTCCCGAGTGCTGGAACTAAAGGTGTGCACCATCAACACTGCGATTTCCTTCATACATTCTTAAAGCGTCTTTCTCTCCTAGAGTTTGTGAGCATTTGTAATTGTACTTGAACTTGTTAGTTGTTTGATTGTCTCCCTCAACTAGGCTGTAAATGCCATCTGGGCAGGGACTTGCATGTTACTCTTCCCAGTGTCCCAGATAGTGTCTGGCTTTTGACTTGTTTTCAGTAAGTCTGTCAAATGAATTAATGTGTAAAGTAGGAGATGATACTAAATGATGTCCTTTCTTAAGTGTCTCCTTAAGTTTTGATGGTGTAATGTCCAAGCAAGACACGGATTGTTCTCAGACAAGTTCATCATTTTTCCTCCTGCATCTCCTGGCTGCATATTTGAGCTCTCACTGTGTGCCCTGGGTTGTGCTGGCTCTGCTTGGGGCAGGCAGGAAAAAGATCTTGGGAAGCCTGTGCTCTGCATCCTCCTGTCCCATGATACTGTGCAGAAGAAGAGCAAGGAGGGAGGGTTCTAAAGGTTCGGGGTGCCACTGGACACACCATTTTTCCTCCTTTGCATGTTTCTTCCACCAATGAAGGTGTGGGGATGAATCCCTACTGATCCGATGAGGATTTGGGTGGAGCCTCCGTAGGGAATGTCTTAAAGTGTGACTAGTACTGAATCCTGTACATACCACATTTTTTTCATAATGAGTTGAGAACTGTCACCTTTTCACTTGAAGGAGGTGCTTTGTGGCTTCTCTGGTATATCTACATTTCCAACCTCACTATTCAAATGCATTGGGGCCCCGAGTGTGTGAATAAGGATTGAATGCATGAGACGGGGTACCAGTACAACAGTTGGTCTGATAACTGAGATGGCTGTTAGGAGCAGACAGACAAATCGGACAAGGAGTGATTCATGTCTTAAGCAGAACAGAGCAAGAAAAGAAATGGCTTCATTGTGCTATGCAGAACAGTCTACAACTATGTATGGATTGTGTTTTTCGGGAATTTTACATTAGTATTTCCAAACCATAGCTGGCAACTGACTCAGCTAAGAAGGGACTATTGTGGTTACTGACACTGTCGCTGGAGTCCTTCAGGCTTTGCCATATACTAGTTGAACAGGTGAGTTATCTCTTCCTTCATATCTCTTCACCTGTAAATTGAACCAATAGAAGCCTCTCACAGGGCTGATTTGAGCACATATGGAACGCTCAGCACAATGTGGGCACAGAGTAAACATTTGGTAAATGTTAGCTGTTATTACTCTTATGGCTACTGCAAAGTTTGCTTCAACCACTTGAATGCCCTAGTGTTGGGCCCTGGACCTACAGAAAGAGAAGCAAACACAGCAGGGCTCACACACAGCCTGGGGCAGCAGCAAGATATGTAAAGCTGCTTAGCACAAGGACAATGCAGGCGGTGGGGAGGTGCGGCTGCCTAGGGAGGAAAGGCTTTATGGGAGAGGCAGAGATGGTGTTCTTGTTAGATATGGTCTTGTGCTAGTTGGGCCAGTATGTGCAAAAGCAATGTGGCATTTTTATCCCAAGGAGGTTCATGTGGTTGAAACAAAAGCTGGCGGGTGGGAGGGACAGAGTGAGTGGCAGCGGAATGTGGCTCCAGACCGTGAAAGAGCTGGACTTGGTCTTGCTGGTGTTGGGGACTGGGGTTAGAGAATTAAGCAGACCAGGAAAGATTTGCATTTCAAAACCAGCTCTCCAGCTGGTGGGAGCTGCTGACTGCTGGTAGAAGAGGAGGCCTGGATAGGGTCAGGGCCCAGCCTAATAAACTGCTCAGGGGAGCGAGGTGTGTGACTGGACTGACTTCTCTTGGGCTTACGAGATC